CTCCAATCTAACAGTGACAACATCCCACAATCCTCACTCTTGCTCTATGTACTCTTTACAAATTACTTGTGGGTTTTAAGTGCAACCTAGGATAACTGAATCATTTGGTTAATTTGTCAGATCCTCATACGTCGAAATCGACTGGAGAGTCCATTATATATATATATATATATATATATATGAAAGAAAAATACAGAAAAAACAAAAATCTCAATATGCATTTATGTAGTATTAATGTTAAAATAAAGTCTGTATTTTTCTTTCATACTGTCGGATTTATATCCATATATTTGCTTACATATATATATATATATATATATATATATATATATATATATATATATATATGTATGTGTGTGTGAATTGAAATCAAATATATATCAAATATGGATCAGAATCCAGCCGAATCATGTCAGTTTGGTGATCAATTAGAGATCTCGAGTGTTGTACACTCACACACATATATATATACTAGCTTAAAAGACATTGTATCGGGCGGAATTTAAGCTATCTTCTGCGGAAGGCTGTCGATTGGACCTTCATCGCAATATCTAAGGAGGGGTAGATACGATAGGTAGCAAGAAACTAGAGAAGAACTCAAAAGTTATAATGTTGAGTGTCGTATACATACATATATATATATGCCACCATTTATCTTTTCACGGTGCCTTAGACTCAACACGGAGACCTACATGAAGTGCCTTGGGGCGATAGTGCTTCCCTGTGCCAAGAAGGTGGCTACTGGAAGACATTATTATCTGGCAACAGGACGCTGCACCATGCCACACAAGTAGGAGAACCCAGTCATGTCTGTCAAACAATTTCTGCGACCACACCATTCCTTACAACTGGCCACTTAACTCCTGAGACCTCGACCTCCTTGATTATTATACGTGGGACGCAGGTGAGCGAGAGAAGAACAAAACTCCTTGTAACATCAAAGATGAAGTGAAGGCAAGGATTGTGACAAACATTCACTTACTTAAACAAGGAGACCATCCAGAAGAGTTGCAGGAGATCCCGAAGTCGTCTGGAAGCCGTGGTTGACGCCAATGGCGATTTTATTGAATAAATTTACTCTTCAGTATTTCAAGATATTTTCGTGTAATTTTGGTAAATATATCTGTTAAAATGAGATGTCAGTGTTAGTTTCATTTTGGCGTCATTTAGACGACAATTTATCCATCGCACCCAGCACTTCTGTTAAAATGAGATGTCAGTGTTATTTTCGTTTTGGCGTCATTTAGACCACAATTTATCCATCGCACCCTATACACCTGATGAAAACCGGTCGAAAGGTTGTGATAGCAAAGATGAGCCCAACAGTCCGAATATAAATAAAGCAAATATTAATTAATAATAAATAATCATTATGACACGATAAAGAACAAACAGGAAAATTTTATAGCTTTAATATGTTTTCAGTCAGTCTTATACAGGACTGAAAATTAACGAAATTTTCCTGTCTTTAAGTCTGAGAATATTTTGCACCCCACCCCACCCCTGGCAAGCCAAACAGACAAAAAATAGAGAAATTTCATTTTTAAATGGTAACTTTTATGCTTATTTTTGCTTTAATTTTGTACAAATACGACAAAGTACCATAGCGCGTGACCCCAAATTTTCATTTATAAAAAATGATTTTGTCAGGTATCATGGGAGTTCCTTTTTTGAGAGACCAAACTACAATAGACTTACCAATTTCCTCAATGTCTTTATCCCGTCTTCTCGTTAAATAAGTTACAAAATGTAAAAGAGAATGAAAAGTATCATTAGTAACGCTACACTCGTAAACAACCGAACGAGAAAGAGCATGAATAGATTGCTCCTTGTTGAGGTAAAAAAATTACCGTATATACATACGTGTATCAAAAAGTAAAAGAGAATGATAAAAGTATTGTTAGTAACGCTATACTTGTTGTGTAAACGCCTACAGCCATAAACAACCGAACGGGAAAGAGGTAAACATCTTATAAACGTAAACAATGAAAAAGATGCATATTCGTTATGTTTGTATTTTATAATACGATACAAATATGTGAATATTACATGCATTATTAATGGATACAGTTAAATAAAACATCAGTTTTATCAAAATCATGTTTATTTTAAATACAGCTGTACATGGATATATAGTTTGGTCAACAGTGTAGTCAGGGCCAGCAATGCATACGCTAATTCTATATCTCGCTTAAAGTTAGCTTCAAAATTAGTTCTTCAAAATTCGCATGATACGCGAGTATATACGACATCTATCTATCTATCTATCTATCTATCTATATATATATATATATTCATACATATTTCATTAAATAATATAGACAAGTATATTAAACAATACACGGACAAGAATGTGATGATAGTCTGTTTCTGTTTACATGGATGATTTCCAAGTAACGATAATCACGTGCATATAAGACGCTGGAAGCGAAAATCCCACCACTGCTCATGACGTCACACATGACCACGCGAGAAGTATTAAGTATGGGAAGCCGTTGGTATAATGTGTCTATAATTGATAACAGAAGCCATTGTAAACAGAAACAGACTATCATCTTGTCCGTGTATTGCTTAATATGTTGTACAGTAATTGCCATCTTTGATAATGGCTTATGTAAGCCGAAAGCTTAGATGGGATTAAAAAATATGTATCAATATTATAATTTTCTTTCTTCGTTTAATGATAATGTTATTAAGCTTATCAGACGATATGAAAAGAATTTACATAAAATAGACAACACTTGTCTATATTATTTAATGACACATGTATGAATGAAAAAATGCTGCCCAAATACACACAATTTATATATATATATATATATATATATATATATATATATATATATATATATATATTTTACTCGCGTGTCCTGAGACATTTGAAGGCCTAATTTTGAAGCTAATTTGACATGAGTAAATGGACATATAGTTTGGTCAACGGCGTAGTTAGGACCAGTAGTACATATGTTAATGTTATATCCCGTGTGTTATGGGGTCCACCCCTTTTTCATACAAGTGGACTCGACCAGTGTGTACTTGGACTGCTGCCGTTAAATACCCAGAGTCAGTCAGAGTAGGGAGAGCAGTGATTGTGATTGAGTTGGAGGAAGAGTAATAGTGTGAGGTAACCGCTTGTAGAAGTCACAGTTACGATCACATAGATTCTAAGGAAGTCCTACTTCGAGACTGGATTTACTCGACTGTGTATATATATTATTATTGCTACTAACCACGTTTCTGGATCTACTAACCGTATTACCAATTGTATTATTACGTCAATACATTTATTTGTTATATTTCATTCCTGCGTTTGTCATTCATTGGGGACCGAATTTCATCTCGGAATCCACAACACCGTGTATGATGTG